TTACTTAGTGCTGTCAAAACTGAAAGTTCTATTGTATCAATTAGTGCTGTCAAAACTGAAAGTTCTATTGTATCCATTAGTGCTGTCAAAACTGAAAGTTCTATTGTATCACTTGGTGCAGTCAAAACAGACAGTGTTCTATTTTATTACTTAGTGCTGTCAAAACTGACAGTGTTCTATTTTATTACTTAGTGCTGTCAAAACTGACAGTGTTCTATTGTATCAATTAGTGCTGTCAAAATTGAAAGTTCTATTGTATCACTTGGTGCAGTCAAAACAGACAGTGTTCTATTTCATTACTTAGTGCTGTCAAAACTGACAGTGTTCTATTTTATTACTTAGTGCTGTCAAAACTGACAGTGTTCTATTTTATTACTTAGTGCTGTCAAAACTGACAGTGTTCTATTTTATTACTTAGTGCTGTCAAAACTGACAGTGTTCTATTTTATTACTTAGTGCTGCCAAAACTACCTCCACTCCCCGTTATAGCTAGAATCCCACATTTAGAAGGTGGTGGGGCTGGTGAGGGCATTATCCATACAGAAAGCATATGAAAAGATGATGGGTGTGTCAATAGAAGATTGGCATCCTAGTGGGGAACTGCACTGCATCCAGAACAGGCATGTTCTTCACCTTGTACTTAATTTATATATCATTGGTGGAATTGTGCATGAGTGACCATCACTACAGATAGCTGAAGTTCCACTACTCAGGGTTGGAATTAAGGAGTCTTGGTTCATATATCCCATATTGGTGGCTAGGGCAATTGGATAACAACGTTATATCTATATATACTTATGAATGGATCCCAACCTGTAGCCATAGAGTAATGCATTCAGAGCCACCAGAATAATGACAAAAAGTTAAACAATGCTGAAGTGAACAAATCTTCTCCTCCATCTGAAGAAGCCCAAAAGGCAACACCCCAGGCTCAGAATGATGGAATCGTGTATGCTTTACTCAATCAAAGGAAACAGAACCCATCTGGTCTGGAATTATGAACATTCACACTCACTCCCTAAGTGTGTGGGCAAGGTACATTTCACTTGCCCCAGGAATTATGGGGAGGACATGGAACAACTGTATTCAACCAAGGAACCAAGATGGGACCATTCCTTGTTCAGAATTATGAGGAGATAATGAACCCTCTTCCATGAAAAATGTACCAAATCTATATTTATCAAACAGAAGGGCCATGCACACTCCAACCAGATAGCAAAGCATCACATCTGAACCGGTATTACAAGTAGGTTCCCATGTAGGCTGGTGCCACTCCTACTGACATCTGGGAAAAACATCCAGGGACCCGGGAGGAGCCCCCCCCCCCCCCAACTTTGCCCTCTTCTTCAAAAGTGGAGGAATTCACTCTAACACTCTGGAGGAAAAGCCTGTATAAATTATATTGAATTAATGGTTACTAGTGTATAATTGGTTTAATAAAAGCACACTTGTCTGGGAACACTCACCACAAAATGGGAGCCTGTGAAAACAAGGGGAGGAAACCCTGAAAGGTAGCAATGAAAATACTCACCCATCTGTATAATCTAGCTGAAATGGTTATGATAGCTACAGGGAGTAGGTGAAAACCTTCAAATCAAGGGACTGCCAGATCAGGCAAGTAATGTGAGATAAAAGTATTGTGAGAGGTCCACATACCAGTCTGCACAATGACCTCCAACAGGCAATTGGATCGGGCTGCTATGGACATAGAAATGTGACAAATCTAATTAGACATGACTCACAGAAAAATCCTTACCTTCAACCAGAGCCCCTAAGAAAAATCGTTGTCTAGCATCTCTAAAGGCATTAGAGCAGGCAACAAAACCTTCAAGACTATCACTGAACATGACCACTATTGAAATCTGATTGGACATAGAAGTGAGAAATAGTGATCAGATGAATAATTGAAAATGACTTTAACCCCTTTCCTGTCTGACAGTGTCTTGGGTAAGAAAAACTTGTCTGAGGAAAAAAAGAGAATGAGAAAGTGGTCTGTGGACAAACAGTCAAAATCACTCTGACCGGTGATGTCTGTAGGTCAGCAGCCACAAACAATAAACCTTCAGGTGAAGGAGATACATGGCATATAAAAGTCAAAGCAGAAACAGGTGTTGAGAAAGAGCCTGTACTGTAATCTTAAGATGCCTGTTAGGTAACTGGAATGGTCATTTGTGACCAAGGGCCCAAAGCTACTTGATGAATCTGGAGAGTACTGGGGACTCAAAAATTATGTAGTTGCGATAATCAAATGGTAGTTGATAAGGCTGCCTTAAGCAGGGCGACTGTATAAGATACAAAAACCTCTGCCAAAAAGGTAGGTCAAAAAACGAATTATGATTGGTACTTCTTCCCAAAATGGGTTCAACCTCCTCTCAATACACCACTGCCAATATGCGTGTCATTTCCATTGAAAATGTTCATCTCAGTGTAAACAAAAACTGAGACAGATACATGGGAGCCTTAGAAATTAAACCTTGATGCTGTGCAACAGACTGCATAATCTCCATGCCTGAAACTTGAGCTTCTGGATAGTTGCTTGTGCCAAGGCAGATCATGGCTGTCTCCACATGGATAGCTGAAAAAGAAGTGGAAGAGAATGACACTCCAGAAGGTATTGCAGAAGCAAAAACCAGGGTGTAGCTGCCAATCTGGTACTATCAACAGGACCCAACAATGGGTTGGAACAAATCATACTGAGTAACCTGTACAACATATGAAGGCCTAGAATAGTAATCCCATCCTGTCCTGACAGAATGCATCCATTGTTAATTCCCAAAAATTGCCAGTAGTTGGGTGACCCAATGAGAGGCCAACCCACCAATCAGAGCTGCAAGATGAGAGTTAAACCAACAGAATCTTGTAATGCAGCATCTATTCTGTTGGGAGAATCAGTGTTGATTGAGACAATTGACCTGCTACCACAGGCGTCACCCTTGGAACATGGCAAGCTAGTAGGATGACAAGATAGGAATGGTCCCAAGAAAAAAGGTCCAAAAAATCAAAGACACAATCATGAGGCATTCATTACCTGTTGAAGAGCAAGAGGGACTAAAACATTGTGTAGGGAAGTTTCTTTGTCCGTGCATAGACCCTGCTATTCCTGACTGTTTGTATATGCACCCCATCCGTGAAGCAAGGCATTTGTGAAAAAATGGAACTCTGGACAAGGTAGCAGTAGATTAACCCATATCATAGTAGTGTCTCGACTTAACAACCCCTCAAGATCGAAGAATGATCCAGACTAAGGAAAATGGAGAAACTAGTGAATTGATGTTTATGAGCACTTGGTCACATAAAGACCATTAAAAGGATCTGTTGTGCTCTTGTCCTAAAGGCATAAGGGATTCGAGTGATGCCCACATTCCTAGAAGAAAAAAACCATCAGTGCTGTGGGAGAAGGAGAGATGAGTAAGAGTCTGACGTCTTATTCCATAGTGTTGAGCCAGGTGAGAATCAACTGAGCCCAACTGATAGATGAGATGAAAAATATAAATACCCAGACTGATGACATATGGAATTGGAGCAAGGATAGATGTCTCAGCCCTTAAAATGAAGCCTGCATTGGTGGTGAAAATAGAATCCAGATGTGCTATTCTGACAATTGATGAGGTAATGCCACTAGTCATCCATATGTGCACAGTGCAATGGAGTGAAAGTGATGAGAAAATTCACACAATATGGCACAGCCCATGTGAAGCCGATGCGAGTCCGAAGATAAAAACCTGGAACAACAGTAATTGACCCTTGTGCACAACAAACACCAATAATGGTGGACCTCCACTGCCATGGCAATGTGCAGATAGAAGCTGACAACAATAAACATGGACATCTACAATCCCAGATTGATGAATGAGTAATTTGTGAACCTTGGCATGGCTATATATGAGAAAGATCAATGATTGGACCCCAATTTCCTGTCTGAATAGGCCCAACAACTGACAGGAATAAAACCTTAAAAAAACTACCACAACTCACTCACTACACTACACCCGGATAAGGCATAACTGTCTCTTTAAGTAACTGAAAATTAAACCTTCCAGCATGAATGCTAATATCTGTGGATGGAGAGAAAAACTAAAAATTTGCTCCCAGACCTTTCAGCCATCAAGGAAGGAGCAGGCTCAAAAGCAACTGGGAAAAATTCCAAAACATTACACACTCTTGAAGAACCAACAGAATAAAACAAATCAAAGGCAGCTTATCCCAAAGTGGACATATTTTTTCTTTTTCCTTTAAAGACTGTGTTGATTACCATTGTTTGGAACAACCTTTGTGAGGTGAATTTGTTTTGTTAGAGAAATAAATGTTGGGCCATCTGCTGTGTCCATTATAGGGAATCAAACCCCAAATTCCAGTGCTACGAGTCCACAAACTCACCACTCTCCGACAGAGGGACCATAAAGCCAACAAACTAATAGAAGGCAGGAAAAAGCAAATCTAAATTTTTTCCAGAATGTCCAGGAGAGTAAGTCCCCCCACCCTGATTGTTGTGCGATGCTAGATATCAGAGGTGGGATAGTAAAGAACTGATTTGCCTCTGTACCAGAAAGAATAATCCTGGAATTCATGCCATAAATTGGCTTGCCAAACAGAATAATTTATATATGTATATATATATTGATTATAAATTACTATTACGAAAATCAACCAGATAACACTTATAATATTCAAAGTATCTTCCAACGATCGTAATACTGGAAATCCCATTAGTGACAATTTGTTGAGAAAAAGTGATAATATTATCTGAATGAGGTGCTTATGTACAATACTAGGATAGAGAGTGCAGTGATGTAGGTGGAGAGTGTTATGAGACAAATATCGCCAAGGGCAATTGAGTAGGGTATAAAAGACTGGAATAAGTGGGAATAACTCAGACCAATGCTTAGATGAGCAAAGGAAGAAACACTGGCAGTCAAGTAAAAGATTTATTAAATAATTTAGATTAGACAAAACAAAATAATTCCTGATTAAATAAACTGGTATTACAACAACAAAAGAAAAAATTTACTAACAAAACTTGTCTGAAACAAGTACGATATTTATGTCATTCATTTAAAACTTTTATATATATTATGCTATCTACATATTCACATAGACAAATAGAGATCGATATAATAATAAAATTATAATACATATCTTTAACAATTAATCTTAAAAATCCATTTTTATATCTTAAGTACTCACAAAAAAATATCAAAATCATTGTCACACGTGTGTACATACTGAAACATATATCATTTTTCAAAACCTGTCATACTTGTGTACATACTGAAAGGTGTCACTTTTCAAAATCTATATCATACTTGTGTACAAAGTGAAACGTGTCACTTTTCAAAATCTATATCATACTTGTGTACAAAGTGAAACGTGTCACTTTTCAAAATCTATATCATACTTGTGTACAAAGTGAAATGTGTCACTTTTCAAAATCTATATCATACTTGTGTACATACTGAAACGTGTCACTTTTCAAAATCTATATCATACTTGTGTACATACTGAAACGTGTCACTTTTCAAAATCTATATCATACTTGTGTACATACTGAAACGTGTCACTTTTCAAAATCTATATTATACTATCTTCTGATAAACTATACTATTTCATATTATGTATTGAACTGTACCAGTTCGCATCATGTATTTTTTCTCTCACAGAACATAGATAACTGGCATAATAGTCGTGAGCATAGAGAATAACCACAACTTATTAACAATTAATATGACATCACAAACTTTTACAGAATTTATATACATTAAAAATAAATTGTATATTTTTGCAGACTTATCTCTTAAAAAGTGATAATCAATTATCCCAACAACAAACCATGGTATGTAAAAGACTATATATGTCAAACAGTAGTCAGTAGTACTGACAAACAGATAAATGTTCCAAGAAATAGAGAGACCTTTTTTCAGACAAAGAATCTAAGTACTTTGGGCATTCTGTTTAATTGGAAAGGGATGGGCTTCTGTGTTAAACACCCAATGATCCAGTGGTAGAAGACTGTCATCAGAAAATAGGAGATACAGATACTTTAGAGTCTCAGCCAGAAAGTAGCTCTGCTGGACGTCGTCCTTTGGTCCGTCTAGAAGATAAACATTTTTAAGTCCGGTATATCCACCTTCCACACGGCAGTGTTTCTCAATAGCCTAAATGGAAAAAAAGGTTTAGACATATTAATGGCAAACTTCCAACTATGGGATATTCAGATACTTGAAATTAAGTCACACCTAGAACTGAATGAAATCAGCATGGTTTTCTATACATCTTTCCCATGGTATTTTATACATCTTTCACAAGGCATTCTATACATCTTTCACATTGTATTCTATACATTTTTCACAAGGCATTCTATACATCTTACCCATGGTATTTTATACATTTTTCACATTGTATTCTATACATCTTTCACAAGGCATTCTATACATCTTTCACATGGTATTTTATACATCTTTCACAAGGCATTCTATACATCTTTCACAAGGCATTCTATACATCTTACCCATGGTATTATATACATCTTACCCATGGTACTCTATACATCTTTCACAAGGCATTCTATACATCTTACCCATGGTATTCTATACATCTTTCACATGGTATTCTATACATCTTTCACATGGTATTCTATACATCTTTCACAAGGCATTCTATACATCTTACCCATGGTATTCTATACATCTTTCACAAGACATTCTATATATCTTTCACGTGGCATTCTATATATCTTTCACGTGGTATTCTATACATCTTTCACGTGGTATTCTATACATCTTTCACGTGGTATTCTATACATCTTTCACGTGGTATTCTATACATCTTTCACAAGGTATTCTATACATCTTTCACATGGTATTCTATACATCTTTCACATGGCATTCTATACATCTTTCACAAGGCATTCTATACATCTTACCCATGGTATTCTATACATATTTCACAAGGTATTCTATACATCTTTCACAAGGCATTCTATACATCTTACCCATGGTATTCTATACATATTTCACAAGGTACTCTTTACATCTTTCACAAGGCATTCTATATATCTTACCCATGGTATTTTATACATCTTTCACAAGGTATTCTATACATCTTACCCATGGTATTCTATACATCTTTCACATTGTATTCTATACATCTTACCCATGGTATTTTATACATCTTTCACAAGGCATTCTATACATCTTTCACATGGTATTCCATACATCTTTCACAAGGCATTCTATACATCTTTCACATGGTATTTTATACATCTTTCACAAGGTATTCTATACATCTTTCACAAGGCATTTTATACATCTCACCCATGGTATTTTATACATCTTTCACAAGGTATTCTATACATCTTTCACAAGGTATTCTATACATCTTTCACATGGTATTCTATACATCTTTCATAAGGCATTCTATACATCTTTCACACTGTATTCTATACATCTTACCCATGGTATTTTATACATCTTTCACAAGACATTCTATACATCTTACCCATGGTATTTTATACATCTTTCACATTGTATTCTATACATCCTACCCATGGTATTTTATACATCTTTCACAAGGCATTCTATACATCTTACCCATGGTATTTTATACATCTTTCACATTGTATTCTATACATCTTTCACATGGTATTCTATACATCTTTCACAAGTTAAAAAATTTGATGAATCTTATACTTCAATGAACCATTCATTTCCTTTCAAAATCACCTCACTTCAACATCATACAAAAACATTTTAATAATTGTTTGTTAGTTTCTGACAGTACTCAACTTCCACTTATGGATCTGAGAACTGGGATGTTTTGTGGATTTTATATTTTCTAAATCAAGAACACTGTAATTAAACAAAAGGCTGCACTTCAACTTGATATTTGACTTGCATAGTTAACTACCACACATCCCTTAAGCTACATCTGAAGTAGTATCCCCAGTAAAGTTTAAACATAGTATTACGACAGCAAAAATCACGTGACACTAGGAACATGCACGCTTGAGTTTCTTGAAGGATCATGAATTTGCCTGGCAACTCTAGTCTGATCTAGATACCCTCTTTTTTAATATATAAGCCTGGGAAAGAAAACCAGCAGTATTGAATAGATAGATATAGATAACTGAGTCAACCAAACAGTAGTGAATTTGAGCCGTAGATTGTGTGTGTATTGCAGTCATCGCATAGAGAGAAGTTATTGAGCTTGTGAATCGCTGTGATTTATAGCATGTATTATGAAAGTTGTTAAGTTTAAAAAGACGAGAAATGTATTGACTGTGGTAATTCTGTCTATTACAAAGTTGTATCGAGGAAGAATAAACTGGGTTAGTCCAGAAAGGACTTGCATTGCTGAAGTTTCTCGGAAAGAATTTACACCAGAAATTAACAACCAAGCAGATACGTAACAAATTGGTGTCACAGAGTGGGACGGAAAAAGAGAGAAGAAACGAGAAGTGGCAAATCAAACTACAGCTTAGCAGATTTGATGGCAGGAATACTAGAACAACAAAAGAAACAAGAAGAACAAGAAAATAAACAAAAAGAGAAACTACAGCAGTGGTTGGAGGAGAAAGAAAGGAAACAAGAAGAGAGACTACAGCAGTGGCAGAAAAACTAGCACCAGTGGCAACTGGAACAAGAAAAGAAACAGGAAAAAAGTCTCCAACAGTTGGGAGAAAGTCAGCGTACACAAGTGGAAAACATTAGTAAATTTCAATCCAAAAAACATTAAAGGATGATTTATTGTCTTTTACACAAGGAGGAAACATTAACCATCGATTTAATCAGCCCCAGACAATGGGAAGTCCCTTCCAGACTCCGCAGCTAAACCCTAATGCAGACATCTTCAGTCCTGTTAGAAGTCACATCCAAGATATGAATGTCAGCAATAGGAGTGAGCCAGTACAAAGTAAGCCACAGGAATTCGATGGGAAGGCACTGTGGGAAGCATATAGAGCACAATTTGAACTCCTGGCAGAAATGAATGGATGGACAGAGGAGCAGAAAGCAGTGTACTTGGTAACGAGCTTGAAGGGACAACCACTGGAAATACTGGGACAGTTGTCAGCAGACAAAAAGCACAACAATAGAGCACTGGTAGCTGCACTAGAACTCAAGTATGGAACTCAAAATCAGTCCAAAGTCTACAGGGCTAGGTTTAGGATGAGAATCTGTGCTAAAGGGGAGAACCTGCATGAACTGGCACAGGATTTGAAAAGTATGGCACACAAGGCCTATCAAACTGCGCCACCCAATGTCCTCAAGTTGTTGCTGAGGAATCAGTTTATAGACACCTTGGAGAGTCCACAACTGAAGATAAAAGTAAAGCAAGCACACCCCTCTACTATGCAGGATGCAATGGCCAGAGCTCTTAAATTCGATTCCTACATTAAGTCCATCACATAAGTTATAAGGTTGGTGCAGTCATCAGGATTCAAAGCCAGAAAAGGGCAGCTTTCAGAGAAGTTTAAGAGACTTTGCTGTCACTGTAACAAACCTGGGCACAAGAGAGCTCAATGCCAGCAACTTCAACACAGGGAAGATGCCACGGCAGGATAGGCTGCTACCCAGAAAGGTTGTTAGAACTGTGGAGAGCAAGGATATATGGGGAGCCAGTGTAAGAAGAATACTACCAATAAGTCAGCCTCGGGGAAATTAGTGGTGGTTGGTGTTGAGGGAGGCCCACCAAACCCCATCGTGAAAGTCCCAACGGCTAAGTGTAAAATTGCAAGCACACATAGTGTCTACGTGACAGGAAAGCTGGATGGCCAAAAGTGGAACTTTGTCATAGATTCTACATCTCAGCAAACCCTTGTAAGTATCAAGGTGCTGGATCACAAAGGAGTACCAGAAGCCATACAGACCCTCTGTGGTGTAACAGGACATTATGCAAGGTTGTGGGGACCAGTGTGGGTAACTATTGAGTATTGAGCTCATGGGTATGAAGGACAGACACAAAGTATACTTGGCTGACATTGAAGATCAATGCATACTAGGGTTGGACTACTTACTACCGAGAAAGGGTGTTGTTGATTTTGATAAAATGACATTTGGGAATAAAAAGGCCAAATTCTGGTAAGTGTTGCTGCTTCTGTTGATTTGCATGTTACAGCACTTAAGGCAACTACAATATCCCCTATGTCAGAAAAGATTATTGGAGGTAGAATAAAAGAACATCCTCAAGGAAGCCTGATGATTGTGGAAGCAGTGGAAGACCCATCTAGGCCAGCAGATGTGAAGATTGGAAGGTTACTTGTGGCAGGTCATCAAATAGTACCCATAACAGTGGCTAATTTCTTTAAATGTGAGCAGACACTTAAGGAAGGGGCATTGTTGGGTGTGTGCCAGGAGGTAGAGCCAGTCAATGTTATGGCAAGAAATACAACCATTAAGAAAGGACATCCACTCCCAGAACATTTAACTGATGTCTATAAGAAGAGCATAGTCCATTTGGCATCATCACAGGCTCTTCAGATTAGAGAACTCTTGGCGAATTATGCAGACGTCTTTTCAAAAGGAGATCATGATCTCGGCTGCACAGACCTTGTGGAGCACAGAATAAACACAGGCAATCACCCTCCAATAAAGATCCCTCCAAGAAGAATAGCTCCGGCAAAGCGACAAGAGATGGAGAAGGTCATGGATGGCCTAATTAAAGAAGGGATAGTCAAGAAATCAGATAGTCTTTGGTCAGCTCCCGTCATGTTAGTCCAGAAGAAGGATGGGACCCAACGTTACTGTGTGGACTTCAGAGCTCTTAACAGTATAATTGAAAAGGACTCATACCCACTCCCAAGAATTGATGATACTCTTGATGCCCTAAGTGAAGCCTGGTGGTTTTCAACTCTAGACTTAAAATCAGGTTTCTATCAAGTTAAAATGGCTAAAGCAGATAAACCTAAGACTGCATCTAGTTATGGCCAAGGTCTCTGGCAATACTGTGTGATGCCATTCGGGCTTAGCAATACTCCAGCAACATTTGAGAGGCTGGTGGAAAAAGTACTGGAAGGCCTACAATAGAGGATAGCCCTAGTGTACATGGATGATGTCATTGTGTTTGCAGTAACATTTGATGAGTAAGTATCCTGGCTAGAGGAAGTGTTCAAGTGTTTGGAAGCAGCAAACCTCAAACTCCATTCCAAGAAATGCGACTTGTTCCAGAAAGAGGTGCTTTACTTGGGTCACATTGTAAGCGAGCATGGTGTACGAACTGATCCTGACAAGGTGAAAGCAGTGCGTGATTGGCCAACACCAGATAATGTAGGAGAGTTAAGAAGTTTCTTGGGACTCTGTACCTATTATTGGAAGTTTGTGAAGGACTTTGCAACTATAGCTGCTCCAATACATGATTTAACAAAAAATGGGACAGAAGTTCGAATGGACAGTTTCCTGCCACCACGTTTTCAAGACATTGATGAAAGAAAAATTGGCCTCAGCTCCACTTTTAAAGCTTCCAAGTTCCTCACTGCCATACATACTGGATTGTGATGCTAGTAATGTCGGAATTGGAGGAGTGTTGTCTCAGAA